ACAGAAAAACACAATAAGAATTAGTTGTATTATAGAGCAAAGGATCTCCCTCCAAGTAGTGTCCTGGATGTGAAAGAAGCCAATACATGTTTGCTCAACAACATGGAAGGTGTATTATTTTCTTGGTTGATGTTACATCTCTGATTCGATAGGTCAAACTTCCAAAAAATATGGAGTCTATAAATTATTTAAACCAGAAGGAGGAGGAATGTTTTTAGCTTTTTTAGTGTGTTAGGGTTAGTTTGAAATCATATGAAACCAGCTGCATAGCTACTTTAAGTCACAAATGGAAGTATGAATTCAATAAAGTAACATAGATGACAACCTTCTACATGTTCAAAAAAGAAAACATTTTTAAAAATTAAACTGCAAGAAGGTTTGGCCCTCCCACTTTGGTTGTGTTCTGCCTGGATATACAGTTGAGAGTTTGAATATTACCATACTGGCCTTTTTCATGCATAGTGCATAATGGAGCTGTGAGCCTGGAAAATTAAAGTCAGTTACATAAAACCAAGGTCTATTGTGAAACAGGAAAAAGGTTGGGTGAAATAGGGCCTTAACTTAGAGTTGCACAAACTTCCTGTTTGGTGACAAAGAAGTGACGATGAAAGGACAATAGAGTGATTATAAGGTTTAGATTGTTCAACATCAGCTTATCTGTTATATGACTCAGTTCAAAGGTGATATATTTAAAAGTGGAACATTCACCAGAAAAACATCTCACTTCCTGTTACCAGTGCTGCACAAAACATGTTTGCAGATTACCATATATGTGATGATGAGTGAAGTGTTATGACATGGAAACATTTGTGGGTTGGGGTTAGGGTTAGGGTTAGGGTTAGGACAATTTAAAACCATGCAGTCATAGCTGTTACTATGGAATTTTACAAGGATATATGTTTTGGGCTCCTAATATAAATTCTATTGCATCTGGAAAAAGAACTGTGCACTGGGGTGAAAACCATTTAACTTGTGTCCACATTGACTAACTTGTAAGGTTTTTGAGTGACACTTAAAATTAAAGGTAAATAAGCCAGGAACACATTTATATGTTATTGCAACAGTTATGAATAGTATATCAACCTTTGACTGACTGCATTACAGTAAATATAAAGATTAATTAATGCATATAAGTTGCATTAATACATCTAGCCACTATCATTAAACTACTGATACAAAAACAGTTTCTCACCAGCTGCTGACACCAGGAACAGAATGGCCCAGAAGTGATGCAGTCTTTACACGAAGTGATCACTGACTTTGAGCAAACTTCCTCTTGCAGACCCAGCCCTTCAAAGAAACCACAAAGTCCATGTAAGAAATGTAATATGGTGTGGAAGCAAAATGTTTGTTGCTCTCACGGAAAGACATATCATAAATCTTATTCATGCAATAAGTTTTTCAAATTATTCAAACTTACCATTTTTGCCCAGCATAAGGAGCAGAAGTGAAAGCACACACCAGTCCATACTCTGATGACAAAAAACATACAAAAGATAATGAACTCCAAGATCACACTAAAACATTATAATACACAAAACAAATACGTCTTGTCAACAACACAAAAATTAAAGCTACAATATAAAATATTATGGTTTTTGCAGCATCAAAGTTTTGTGTTAAATTGACATATTGTAAATTCAGAGATCGTGTTGCAGCTTACGTTTACACCATAAAAGGAAAAAGCTGACAACAGCGTCAGCTCATTGGTGTACTTCCTCTTTTTGATTTAGCCAAGCAACTCGCCCCTTCAGTAGCAAGATGTGCTAACATATTCTGAAAAAAACGTCTGTTTTTTCAGTCATTATATCGTTCAAGCATTTATTTTGGTAATTACATTTTAGATTAAAATCCAAAATTCCAATAGAGGGATCTTTTCAAACCTGGGACCTTTTTAAATATGGGAGTTTTTAAGCTCTCATATTTATGCTTAAAAGTGCCTAAATTGGGGCGTGGCAGGCGCAGGGGGTCAGCACACCCCACATTTGGAGGCCTTAGTCCTCAACGCGGACGACGCGGGTTCGACTGTCTCCCCCCCTCTCCTCGCCCTCTTTCCTGTCTGTCAAAAATACGAGCCTCTAGTGCCGCAAAAACTCTTCGGAGAAAAAAATGAAATAAATCAAATAAAAAGTGCCTAAATCACTTTAAATTCTAGATTTCTCTTACTGTTTTCAAAAAACTCTACAATGTAGTTTTAAGATCAATAACTTTCCTTTTGAAAGCTTGAACATTCATACCGTCCTAACTTGTCACTTTGAAATTAAATTCAAATGATTCTGAGATTCCAAAGCCCAAATAAAAACAATTTTGTATTTTTTACTTTTCTTGCTTGGTGCATTATTTTGAATCCAAATATCTCATCATATGTCTCTCCGTCTTTATCACTGTTCTTTCCCTAATTAGTGTTTGAATCTCTGCATTAGTACAATTTCATGTACAACCAGAGGAAACTACAGCAAAGGATAAAAAAACATGAGACATAAATGGTTACTTACAAAAAATATGTGAAAGCAAACTTACCACTAACAAGATGGTGCTTTTCTGCATGTAGGCAGATGGATGTGCTGTCAAACAAGGAAGTTAACAGATATGACAGTATTTAGGAGAACTGTGTCTCGCCCCGCCTCCCTCCCTCACAAACACACACACAACAAGATTAAGTTCCCCATTCTCCTCAAACTATTTTACTGTAAAACATTGCTTTGACATGGTAAATGTTACTGTTTTTCTTTTTACTTTTGTTTTTATTTATTTTGCCATGTTTAAGATGGGCTGATAACTCACCATAAACTGAGAAAGAATAATAGCAAGAATTTTATTTGAACTAAATCCCAGATTCACTGAATCATTATTCAACCACGATATAAGAAAAAGGTAATAAAACAAAAAATATATTTATATTACTACTGCTACCATTCCAGAACAGCATCTCATGCTGCTGGTGAGCAAATAGGCTCAACAGCAGCATGACCATATTTGCTCATGCTTACTTTAAGCAAAGGCTTCACGCACATCTCAAGAAAAATGGCAATTTAAACTTAATATGGAAACATTTTTATCTTAATCTTTTTACTGAGTGGGTGTTATGGTTGCTCTGAGGTAATTACCTAATTTCCTGTCTAACCACTCCCACTTTGCCCTAGACTAGGGCAAAAAAACAAACAAAACCTTTTCAAAAGTACTATCATCTTTCAGAGCAGAAGTGTTGTTCACCTCCACATCTGCCAGGCTGTAAGCGTCACCAAAACATCCCAGTTATCCCACTGACTTCCGATCTTCTCTTAACATTTACTGAACTTCTCTGGCTGTAGAAGGGAAGTAGAAACAGAGTCAGGGCAGCTGCTGGTCTACTACCAACTACAGCCGACTCTTTATGATTGCTTTTAAATCCTAAGCATTTCACTGAATCGTTCAAAAGGCCACAACATATTCATCAACAAGATGATGCTGCTTTCGAGACAACTCAATGGTAGACATATTTAGTTCACTTTCATTTTATTTTGGTAAATTATCACACAGTAACCAACATCAAAATACGACACAGTAAAAACTGCTGGGTTAAAAAGAACCAAATTTGTAAGCCAGTGCTGGGTGAAATACGGGCCGACCCGAAGCTGGGTTATGGCAACTAATCAAAGGTTGGGTTGAATTGACCCAACATTGGGTTAAGACTCATAACACAACACAAAAGTTATTATACCACTAAATTTGTTTTGGTTTTTTTTGTTTAAGATTTTTTTATTATAAATTTCATCATATAAAAACAGGATTAAAAACTATCTGAATTTAAAGCCTCTTTTATTTCCATGTCCAGCAATCAGAATTCATTTACAAAAGTTTCTGTTTCTGCTGACAGTGCTGGAGGGTTAGTTGATCTGAGACTGTTGCTGTTAAACCAGAGGAGAGAAGGTCCCTGGTTATGAAGTTGTGAATAAAAAAAATTGCTGCCATTTTATTAATTAAGCCCTAATAATATCTATTTAACCTCTAACAACTTGGCTGCAGATGATTTATAGACCAAAAAGCTCAAAGGGGTTAACGCCATATAATAGTTTGATGTTAGCGCCTCTGAGACCTCGAATTATAAGACTGGAATATCAAGGCAAAGAAAACTCAGTAGTTGCTGGCAGGGGCCATTCAGGGGCCTCCAGACATTCAGGGGGCCCAGAAATGGTTTGATAGTCACACAGACCACAGATCTTAACCTGGAACATCATTCATAGAGAATGAAAATGTTATTACATTTTATTTCATGAAACATAATAATGAGAAAAATTAATAGTACATTTAGGATTTAATTAGGAAGTTTACTTTGTAAAAGTTTAAATAACCATCTTGATAGTTTAATTGTTGTGTTACCATGGCTACAGTATGGTATCATCTTTGCTGTGATGTATTTGTAAACAAACCCAATTCAAACACAAATAACCAATAATCAGTGATTGATTTTAAACTCGGCCAATAAACCTGGTCTCCGTCTCACAGACTTCACCTGATTTCAACATGTTAGTGATGCTGAGGTTCTTGGTAGGAAGCGTTTTGGGGGCTCCTCTCTAAGGCCCCATATTACCTTGGACTGGCCCTGCATGAACAACTGCTGCGATGTGAATCTCTGGAATCTACCTTGAATCCCCCAGTGCATGTGCCTGGGCTGCACAGTGACGCAGTAGGTAGCACTGTTGCCTTACAGCAAGGTCCTGGGTTCAATTCCCACCCTGGGGTCTTTTTCTCCCTGTGCCTGGTGGCTTCTTAGTCCAAAAACATGAGTCTGGTTAATTGGTCTCTAATTCTCCCTCGGTGTGAGTGTGAGCATGGTTGTTTGTCCTGTCTGTCTCTGTGAACCCCACTTCTCACCCAAAACGTTAGCTGGAGAGGAACCAGCATCCCTCCTGACCCCATTAGGGACAAGGGTGTTAGAAAATGGATGGATGGTGTTTCATAGGAGGAAAACTCAAATCTCTACCCCAAAATATAGTGTAAAGCAGACCAGAGAGAGAATACACTTTTTTTTAACTAGTAATTTTATTTTGAAATTACAATGGACACTATGATACAAACAAGCAAATTGAAGACAGTTTCTAACTAGAACTGCAACATTAGAACTTCATGCCATTGGTAACCATTATGAGGAGAGGATCCTCAGCTTTATGGCCAACCATGTCTGTGAGATATGCAGATTTATTTGTCCATTATTTTATGTGGTAACATAAAATAATCTTTTTCAGCCCCAGGTAATGCTGTTAGCTGGCCTGGACAGTAGAAACATTAGGAATTTTGGTGTACACGTTTTAAAAGCAGCTATTTTATTTTGAAATGACAATGGACATTATAATTGCACTAAAAAGCAAGTTGAAGGCAATTTCTAACTAGCACATTAGGAGATCTTTATATCACTGATGATAACCATTGTAAGTAGAGGATCCTCGGCTTTATTGAAAGGGTTCATTGGAAGAAATTATTGGACAAAGCCCCAATCTGTGTCCTGACTCGTTGGCAGTGATTAGATTCCATGCTTCTGCTTTAGCTCTTCTACCAGCTTGATGTACTCATTCATGGAATCCTCTTTGCTTTTGCCTGACAGAAGAATGACAGAACAAAAACAACATTAAATATGTCTCCAAGGACTCCAGTTTTGCATGCAAAGTGGCATAAACAGAAATAGCGGCAGGAGTTTGTCCTGCAATCAGTATGTCGCTGGTTCGATTCCCGCTCCGCCGCCACTGTTGTCCTTGGGCTACACACTTCACCCACCTTGCTGCTGATGTTGGTCAGATGGTAGCCTCACTTCTGTCAGACTAATCCCAGGGCAGCTGTGGCTACAATCCAGTAGTTTGCCATCATCAGCGTGTGAATGTGTGCTGAATAGACACGACTGATTTCATGCTATTCAAGATTGATTTCATTTCATTACTGACTCAGTTGTTTAACTTTTTGCAAAAAAGGAAAACAAAAAATTCTACATGTGACACAATGATTTTACTTTATGAGGATTTTTGACTTTATATCAAAATTTAAGTTTCCCTTTTAATTCCAAACTGTATGTTAGGAGGTTATGGACAGATTTGGAGTTGTACACTGTGACCCAACATACCTTTCTGCTTCTCCCAGGCATCCCACTTAGCTTTTCCAGTAAAATCAAGCATTCCAGGACGAGCTTCAGAAAGATGATAGAGATACGATGGGTTAGGGTTTGGGCTTTTGAAGTTGCATTGCTTAGAAATTCAACCTGAACTGTCATGCAAGCAGACTATGTTTTAGCTGTTTGATATTACTCAGTATTACTGTTTTTCATAGGGCAAGGCATGGAGGGGTGACCATTCATCTTAGGGCTATGGGAGGAAGCCAGAGTAACAGAGGACTAAGGCAACATACTTGGAAATGGCCAAGATTTGAACTTAGAAGCTTCCTCGTGACAGTGCTATCAGCAGCGCCACCATGCTACTGAATTCATTTCCTAGTATGTTTGACTCAGTGATGTAGCAATGAAAACAGAAGTCTTAAAGTCTGTTTCTAAAATAAGGTGCTCTGTTTTGACCCAAATTGTTCTACAGCATAAAAGTTAGAGTAAAAGTGAAGTGCATGTTAGTGCACTGAGGACATCAATGTCACGATAATGTGTGACCAGCTATATAAACTTCTGAGTGAATGACATCAACCTCAGCAGAACAGTGAAATTCTTCCCCAATAACAAACCCTGGATCACCAGTGAACTAAAGTAACTGTTAAACAAGAAAAGAGTCCTTAGGGAACAAGACAGGGAGTTATTGAGGAGTATACAGAAACAGCTCAAAGTCAAGATTAGAAACAACAAGGAGAAGTACAGGAATAAACTGGAGAACAAACTGCAGAGGAACAGAATCAGAGATCTGTGGTCAGGGATGAAGACAAAAGGAGGAGCATCTTTGGGATGCTCAAAGTCAAGATTAGAGTCATGGACTCTTCTTCCAAAGCTTTGACTTCAACCAAATCAGGAGATGCTGCTTCTCTTTGCCGCCCCTTCCCACTTTTCTGGATCTCAAAGTCAGGTGAAGAGGCAGCTGGAGAGACTGAACAAGAACAAGGCTGCAGGTCCAGCTCTGTCGGATTCTGCAACATCTCTTCAACCACATCATGGGTCTCCTGTTGGTCTGCCTGAGTAAGCAGGTAAGGACTTATCAAAACCTCCTGCAGTTAGCTTATCATCATGGAGTTGGAGTTGATGATGTCATCATACACCTGCTTCAACAAACCTACTGTCATCTGGACACAGCAGGCAACACTGTGAGGATCATGTTATTTGATTTCTCCAGTGAATTCAATGCAATTCAGCCTGATTTGCTCTGTGAGAAGCTCCAGGAGATAAAGATGGAGGTCTCAACAATTTGTCAGGATTTATAACTACCTGACAAACAGACCGCACTTTGTGAGACTGAAGGACTGTATGTCTAACCAGGTGGTCAGCAACACAGGAGCACCAGAGGGAACTGTACTCTCAACATTCCTTTCACTGTGTGCACGTCAGACTCTTGTTGACCTATTTTTAGCATGGTGAGGGAACAATCATCTCATCTTGAATGTAAACAAAACGAAGGAGATAATTATAGATTTCAGGAGAAACAGAATCAGAGCAAACCCTATTTCCATCATGAGAGACGAAGTGAAGGTGGTTAAAGAATATAAATATGTTCATCTGGGCCTTCAACAGTGAAGGTGTCTATAAGAAGGAACAGAGCAGACTGGAGGAAGCTAAGATCCTTCGGCAAGATGCTGCAAATCTTCTACAAGTCTCTTGTTGAAAGTGTGATCTCTTATGTTGTCATCTCTTGAGGCGGCAGCATCAGAGGCAGACTTAAAATGGCTCAGCGCCCTGATAAAGAAGGCTGGTTCTGTTCTGGGTACTACTGTGGAACTTGAACCTGATGAAAAGGAGGAATCTTCATAAAATTAAACAGATTATGAACAACCCTGAACATCGTCTTCATGAGATAGTTTTGGGAAAATAGAGGAAAACACAGTGATTGGAAGAAGCTTCTTCAAATTACTGATACTGACCACTAGAGGAGATCCTTCCTCTCAACAGCCATCAGTATCTATAACAACTATTTGAAGAATTGTGAATAATGAGTTTTGACATTAGCTGAGATCAAAGTAATTTTGAATTTCATTTAATTTGAATGCACTTCCATGAGGAGGCAGTCTCACCTGTGTTAACGTCTCCCACGGTGGCTTGCTTAAACAAGGAATAGAGCAGCAACATCTCATCATCAGATGGTTTGGCCTTCAGCTGCTTTACTTCAGCTGCAGCAGCATCAAAGTTAGCCTACAGGAAAAAGAGGAAGGCTCTTCTAGACATCAAACTGTGGACCTTCTCTGACCCAAACAACTTTCAGTATTATCAAACTAATTACATTTAGTTGATTGAACACAGTATTTTGAAAAACATTGTAAATTTAAATGGACAGAGGTAAAGAAAGTAAAAAGGGGATCTCTCTAGTTTCCTTATATCCAGAATAAAATAACAAATTCCCTTTCTCCTACATAAAGCTGTGGATCATCAGGATCCTTCACACAACAGAGATCTGACTGCTCCATATATTGAGTCATGCTGTTAACTTTATACTTTTTATTAACATAGAAGGCAATTGTTCATCAGTTCATCTGCTTGTTTTTATGCATTCTGCTCTGTCAGTCAGGAAGTTATTGTTGCTCCATGCATCAGTCAATGACTCAACACTCTACTGGGATTCCTTAGAATTTTAAACATTTTTTGGACCAATATGAATGAAACTAAAAATGACTGTTTTGTTTGATAATTAGTTTCAATTGAAATTTATATTGACTGGACCAAAATGACTTTTGTAAAGTTCCTTGATATGATGTGTCTTGAATTAGCGCCATACCAACTGAATTTTTTTAATTGCACTACTGTCACAGCAGAGATAAAAACAGATTTGGGAAAGCAGCACTGGAAACTAATTCTGCTTTAGGGAATTCTATGTCAGTGATTTTCTTTAAGTACTTGTACTAACGTTTCTGCAATAAGTTTATTTAGACATATCTGTGAAGTGGTGTGTGTATTGACCTGCCCATTCTATTTTAATATCACACCAACATACCAGGGAGCAATGTACTAATCCCCTATGCATGGCAGATGTACAGTGACTCTTTGTCCTTTGATTAGTTGTACTGTACATTACACAATGTTTGCAAAGGATAATTGTGAATGGTTAGAATTTCACACTTGTCTATATTTAATTGTAACCAATAGGCTTTAGAGAAACAACATATAGCTTGTAACTCGAATGGAATTTGACTGCTATTCTTTAGAAAGAGAGTTGTGTCATCAGCAAATTGACTTATTACTACATTTTTCCAAATATGTTAATGCCTTCAGTATTACTGGTCTTAATTAAAATTGATAACATTTCAGCTACCATTATACAAGGCAATGGGGAAGAGGGACAGTCCTGCCTTATGCCTCTATTAACATTAAATCTAGGGCCGTGATCCAGAGACTGAACTGTTAATGTTATCATAAAGCATTTCGACTAAATTAATAAACTTCTGTCCAAAGCCAAAGCAGGCCAGAGTATGAATTATAAAAGAATGCTCAACACGATCTAAAACCTTGTAATACTACAAGATTTTTAAAAACCCTACATTAATAGATCACGGTAGTCAAGCAGATCTATCACAAGTTATGTATTGAACGACTGCTTAAAAAACAGGTTGTGTTTTACTAATTATTGTTGAGATTTCTTCTTTTAATCTGGCAGCAATAGCTCCAGACAGAATGCTATCATCTGTATTTTACAAAGTAATCGGTCTAAGATTATTTATTGATGAAGTAGACCCAAATCTGGTCTAACACCAGATTTGGGAATTAGACCTTTAACCTTCTTTCATACTAAGAGTTTATGTTTTTCTCATGACGCATGCATTTATAGCCCTGAATCAGGGATGTCAAAGTCAAATACACCGAGGGCAAAAAACCAAATTTGCTACAAGCCGATAGCCAGCCTGGGTTTATGTTTATGAAGACATATTTAAATGATTGCACAAAGCCTATTGAACCAAGACCTAACACAGTGTATCTTATTTAATAATTCAATGAATAAAGCAATATTTTCTTATGGATCTGTCAGTGATTTCAAGTGAAACCGTTTTTTAAACAGGCAAACAGAGAAAAACAAACTTCCTTAAAGAAAAATATCATGTTCTGTACATTAAAAGAATAAAGTAATATTTTATTATGACTGTCAGTAACCTCAAGGGAAAACATTTTCAACAGGCAAACAGCAAAAAATTTCATTGTTTTAAAAAACTAAATATGTTTCTTAATATCAAGATAAATACATAAATTGAAGTGCTTGCAGTATAAACTGAAAATGCATTATTATGCTGCTCTATGATGTTCATATTCTTGTCTTTGTGTTTCTGAGAAGCTTGATAATGCCTTCTGAGATGATATTCTTTCATTACAGCCAAACTTTCTCCACACAGAAGACACACAGCCAGTGGTGGCATAGTTACTTTCATCAGATTACTGATTACTCCTTGAAAAAGTAACTTAGTTAGATTACTGATTACTTGGTTTGGAAAGTAATAAGTTACATTGAAAATAACTATTTTAGTTACTGTCTGCAGCTGCTAACAACAACAACGCTCCGCCACCTGTGAACCTCATATTGATCTTTTCCATTTTATTAGCAAGTTATTTTATAATGATTCCATCAACAATGTGTCTCCACTTATATGGTTGAACTGAAGGGGAGATTGTTTAATGGTTACAACAGCCCAAAAAAACGTTAATAATTTGTGCGTGTTTTTGTGTTTCTATTGTCTGTAAAATAGGATTTTAGACCCCCCCCACCCCACCTTCTGCGCCCCAGCATCCAGGTTGTGCGTTACGGCCCTGCGTTTGGTGTCACAGCTCACAGATCACCTCCTGCTGCTCCACAACTCAAATGTCCCACTGCACAGATTTGTGACACTTATCTTAATATTAATAAATGTTAATCATTATAATGGCATTCAGTTGCACAACTTTACGGACACGTTCATTCGTGGCTGTTTTCACGTTTATTGCGCTGTTCAGATTAGTTTTGATGTTTGCTATTTTCTGGAGAGCAAAGTGAAGCTTGACATCATTCAGAGATAATATATTAACTTGACATTAATAATATATTATCATATTATTAGACGCAGTGGGACGGATCATCCGGGAAATGATGGACTGGGAGAGTCTAACTAAAATGCCAGACAAATTCTGGGTTTCGATAAGTAACTGTAGTCTGACTACCTGATGATAAATAGGAACGTTAAATTACTGGTTAGTGAAAAACAGGTTTGCCTTTTACCTCCATGCACATGAACTCTGCCTTTGATTGGCTTTACTTTCACTCTTATGTTTAACTTTATGACACTCAAAATTACAAATGGATCGTCCATTTTGTCTCCAAGTGTATTCTGGGTAAAACTTGTCACCAGCCATCCACATCTTCATCAGTCACTTGGCAACAGATGATAACAAGCTTTAGAATGCACTTTGAGACAATATGGACGATCCATTTGTAATTTTGAGATTTAAACATAAGAGTGAAAGTAAAGCCAATCATACAACACAACATTTTATTCAATATTTTACACCCACTATGTCACAAAAGTTAGTCTGTCTTGTGAAGTTTTTAGCAACCATGAGCCAACAATGATTGGGGCAGCCTACTGTATAATCTACTGGGGCACCATGTTATATAATCCTACATACATCATAGTCAGCCTGCTTTCTCCACCTCACATCAGACATGATAAAGGCTTGAATTCCCAAAGTCATATTCTGCCACCTCTAGGTCCGGGCCATGGGCCTGCCAACCCCCAGCCCTCTCTGAAGCTGTGGCCCTGGATATGGCTAATGTTTCATAAGCGAGCAGAGAGTTCTGCAAGAGCACGAGGAAATAGGTTTGAGTAAACATTGCAAGTTTTGAGACGAAAGACGTAATCCTGCTTTCAAAATGAAAATGTGAGCAAAAGTATTACAAGCTTTCAGATTGAAAATGTGTGCTCTTGAATTATAGGCAGAAAAATTCCCCATAATTTTGTCACTTGCTCACCCACTGGGAGAGAGACTCTACATTTCAAGTATGTCCATCAATTAGTGTTTCATGCTGTCTGTCCAGGACAGAATGGAATGTTCTGAATACTTCAACCTGCCGAAATGTTTGATTACGTTACAGTACATTTTATTGATACAGTACATGTATTATTTTTGATAATAATTTAGGTAAGTTGTTCAAACTACAGTAATTCCTTGCAGGGATCCAATGGACTTTGAATATTTTCCCATGCACATTTGGTTTAGCTTTGAAGTATTTTAATCAGGCATCTTCACAAACACCTAACCCACAACATTGTCATCAGTTTGTATAATATAGACATGATATTATTATAGTGCTCGAAAACATATTCCTCCAGGTCTTCTGCTTCTTAGCCTTGGCTAATGTTTCGTAAGCTAACCCGAACCCAGCCACGTGTCTGATGAATGTCTGCAGTCTGATCAGAGGTCAGAGGTCAGTCAGTGATGTTGATATGCTCTTTGTTACGGACAGCGGCAGGTTTAAAACCTGATCAACATTTTCCTAAATGTTCATCAGGTTTTAAACCCAACGACCAGTTTTAAACCAGGGCCACCAGAAAACACTCTTCCGGTTAACATCTCCCTTTTACTTCATTATTCTCCTCAAGCACAGGATCCTGCCTGGAAATGGATGTTTCCGTGTGAAGAAGCTAAACACACATCCACCATTGAACTGAACTCCCCACTTGTTTAACACGCTAGAAAACGCTTCACACTTTCATCACTTGTATTCATACTCACTTGTAAGTCTGTCATGTTCAGTCGTCCCGCTGCTCAGCTGCTTATGAGTCTATCGACCACAATGGAGGGTTAGCTTAGCTTAGCTTCTTTCATTGAACCACAGTTCAAAGTTCAGACACGCCTTTCCGAGCACCATTTTTTTTATTTAACTTTATTGTTACAACATTCGTTTGCAAAACTTAAGGCAGCAGTTTTACACTAACATCTAGGTATGAAAGATTAAGAATAGATGAAACGTGTTTAATGAAACAAAATCACCTGACCGACAAAAGTTTAATACTTGATGTCACTATTTTGTGGTTGCAAATAAATATGTCAAATAAATTGAAAATCTTAATTTTTTCCCTTTCATTTCAGAGAAGGGAATTCATATATTATATCAATTTATTGCACATAAGAAATTAAGCTTGTCATTTTGGAGGTTATATCTCATAAGATATAGTGTCCCCAACTTTCCCTCTGTTCCCCCCTTGTCCCCAAAGACTGTTCTGTATACAAATTGTTCTAGTATTTATTTAATAACTACTTAAAATATTTAGTTTGTAGTCACAGTCTTTACATTCATTACAGTAATCAACTGTTCTACAGACAGATCGCAATTTTAAAAAGAAAGCAGGAAAAATGATCAACCTATTGGAAAGGGATACAAAAGGAAATTACTATGTACCTGGGCATTACAATCCCCTAAGAGCCATTTTTAACAATACTTGGGATATTCCAGACTAAAATTCAAGATCACAGTAAGATATATGTCTTAAAGATTCTATTTGTTCTAGCAAAGAAAATGATCACGGTCTGATGGCTGAAACCTCAGCCTCCAACAGTCTGTCAGTGGAGTGAGGGAGGTGATGAACACTTAGTACACACCACATGGAACAAATTACAGCAAAACTACAGATGAAAAGTGACATCCTCTTAAAAAAACTGACCTCACTTCAAACATTCCTTTTAAACCACAGCTGATGCAGATTACAAATATATAAATAAGAGATTCTCACTTGTGTGTGTTTTTTTCAGTCTGTGGACAAACAAAGCCTTTTATGGAGCACAATATTGAGATTGTACATGCAGTTTGTAAAATATTTTCTATGAATGATGATTGTGATGTGACTCGCACTGGAAAATCTGAATTAAAATGTAAAAAAAAAAAAAGAAAGCAGCGATCTTTAAGAAACCTGACTTGCTGATTTATTTATTTTTGTTTGAGAGCAAAATATAGGGAAAAGGTCACCAAGTTGGCAACCATCTTGCCTGAAACGTTCGTTGGAGATAGGCACCAGCGCCCCTCCCGACCCCACTAGGGACAGAAAATGGATGGAGTTGGCAACCATTAGGTAGGTGACCACCACACACACACACACACACACACACACACACACACACACACACACACACACACACACACACACACACACACACACACACACACTGATACACTGACTGTCATAGGGCCTTCCCCAGAGGTCACGAGAATGAATTCTATGCCAATCCTAAAAAACCTGTTTTCTGGACTGATCCTATGGCATTTAAATCGTACCAATCAGCCCTTGACAGAGACTGGAATGAGTTTACCAGAAACATACATTGTCACACACATCAGGTATGGTGGTGACCAGAGGTTGTGAGAATGAACGTGATAGCAGGAATGAACTGGACACTGGAAATTAAAAGCAATTAATTAGGGTCTTTAATCATTCATCAATCACTCCTCCGATTAAATTTTGACAGAAGGGTGTCTATGTAGTGTTTTTATGCTCAGTAAAAGGAGAAACACACTGCATGTGTTAACAACATGCTGTAACAAGGACTTGCTGGAGCTGTACCAGCAGATGAGCTACAGAAGGTGACAAATAACTGTGATAAAATCAATGATACATTCCTCATCATGGAGTGCATAATGAGGAAGCATCATCCCACAAAAGGCAAGTTGAGAATTGTACTTAATTGTTGATCAACTTATAAAGGAGTATCACTGAACATTCAGCTTCTACAGAGACCTGCTCTCACAAACTCTTTGGTTGGAGTTCTGATCAGATTTAGAAAAGAGCCTGTTACACTAATGGCCGACACTGATGCCATGTTTCACCGGGTTTTATGTCTCTGAAAAACATGCCAGCTTTCTCCGTTTCCTGTGGTGGCATCATGGTGACACTTCAAAACCTGCACAAGAGTTCAGGATGAAAGTTCATTTGCTTGTAGCAGTGTCTTCATCAAGCTGTGCAAAATATGCTCTGCAAAGAACTGCTGATAATGCACAAAAGTTTCCAGCTGAAGTGGTTGACAGAGTGGATGTGGATGACGGTTTAAAATCTATTCTTACCGAAGAAGATGCAGTACATATGATGAAGAGGCTGACAGATCTCTATTCTAAAGGAGGATTCCTGCTTTCAGCATGGGTCAATGGACCAGCAACAGGCACACAGTGCTCATGTCAATCCCTGAGGTAAGGAGAGCAAAAGAAATCATGGATTTGGAGACAGATCAGCTTCCAGTTAAGAAGAATATTGGGTTTACAGTGGTGCACCGAAACAGATAAGTTCAAGTTCAGAATCTCTGTGCATGACCGCCACTTTATCTGTGGTTAGCTCACTGTGTGATCCCTTGGGAATCCTGGCTCCCTTCAGTATGCCAGCTGATCTGTTGCTACAAGTTCAGCAACATTTCAAATGTTGTGGACAACACTTGAAATGGGATGACGTTATTCTCCATTCCCTCTCTAGAAAGAGGCTTGATTGGCTGGAGGTTCTCCTGCTGATTTCAAGTTTTAAAGTGGACCGTTGCATCAAACCAAGCTGCATTAGACAAAGCACGATTTCATAATTTCCCTGATGCAAGTCAAGCTAGCTACGGAACAGTGTCATATTTAAAACTGGAAAAGAATAACATCTCACATGTTGCTTCCATTGCAAGAAAAGAGAGAGTTGCTCCTCTGAAGCAAACGACAGTTCCCATGCTGGAACTGACAGCTGTTAAACTGCTGCAAAAAGAGTTGCAAGTCAAGTTTAAAAAACCTGTCTTCTGGACTGATAGTACAACAGTGCTAAAATACATCTCCAATGAAACCAGAAGATTTCACCTCTTTGTTGCAAACAGAATTTTGAGAAACAACAGATGTCAATGAGTGGCGATATGTTTCCTCCAAGGAGATCCTGCAGATGACACATCCAGAGGCACAAGAGCTGAGGAGTTCCTCAAATGCAGGAGATGGGCAAATGGACCAGAATTTCTCCACAGGTTAAAAGAGGAATGGCCTAAGCTGAATATGGACCACCATGCAATTCCTGCAGATGACCCAGAGGTCAAAAAGGACCCAACAGTGAGTGTGAAAGAATTATAAAATGCTACAAGCTATCTGATTCATTACCTTTCATCTTGGACAAAGCTTAAAACCTCTGTGTCCTGTTTTTTAAAGGAAATGGAAAGAGTTTGCTACAGTAGACCTGAATAAAAATGATCCAGAAAATCAAAAGAAACAATTGGAAAAGCTGATGGAAGGATTCAAGAGCACTCTGAAGAAAGAAAATCTGACTCCTGAAGACTTGGCCAAGGCAGAAGAAGCTATTATTCAGTTTGCATAACATCAGAAATTTACAACTGACATGTTGTAAATCACCAGTAGCCTTAAAACAGTCTCCAGGAGAAGTTCTTTGTACAAACTTGACCCATTACAGGATGCTGGGGTCCTTAGAGTGGTTGGTGGGTTGAATAAAACAGCCATGGAACAAAGCATCCTGCAATTTTGATGAAGGATATGTGTCTACCCTGATTTTACGCCATATTCATCAACAGTTGGGACATGCAGGAAGAGCTCATATGCTGTCTTAATATTTTGTCAAGATTAAGACAAAAATACTGGATAAGAAATGGAAATTCAGCTGCCAGAAAACTAATCTCTCGCTGTACTTTCAGATGTAACAGATAAAAGTTTTGGATGATAAAGGACTTCAAACTTTCTTTTATGAAGTTGAAGCCATATTAAAGGACAGATCCATGACCAAAGTTTCAGATGACTCAAATGATTGTGAAGTACTCACACCTAACCATTTGTTGTTACCATGCCATACCAACTTTATTTATAAAGCACTTTATAGACCAACAGGACCAAAGTGCTATACACAATCATAAAATACAATGCAATTATAAAATAAAAAAGATTGAATATAAAATACATATTAACATACAGACACAATAAAACGAAATGAAAGATCTCAGATTGTGCCAAACGCCAAAGAAAAAAGAAGGGACTTAAAAACAGTGAGTGAAGGGGCCTGTCTTATGCCCAAAGGAAGATCGTTCCATAGCTTGGGAACTGCCACAGAAAAAGCACGGTTCCCTCTGAGCCGCACTTTGTCTTTGGCACATGCAGAAGCCTGATACATCTGGCAAATAATAATGAGCAAATGTTTTCAAAATATCAATGATTGCTATACTTACTATAGCAAATACTGTAGTATAGCATGATTGAACCAGAAAAAAATTAACAACTAGAAATTTCTTTATCCAGCAAAGTTTACATTAGAACAGGATTTTCCAGAAAGTCTACATACACTCTCATCTTTTCAGAAAGTTTTTGTGCCCTGCTATCAGTCAGCTTCCCTCCTCTTATATTAGCAATAAAAAAATATAATAAATACATACAATGTGTTAGAAAACTGTGTTTGATTTCTGACCTTTATTCTTCAGGCTTAAGTGACAACAGTAGGAAAAAGACTGATTTTCTTTGTGATAAAAAAAACAACCACAACACAAAGCAGTGGAAGAAGGCCTCCACACAAAACCTCGTTAATGTATTTATTTTACAATTTTCTTATTGCTTTTTTTAAACAGCAGTTGCCGATTAAACTGAAAGTTACAACCCTGACATGATTATATGATTTGTTTTACCGAGAAATTGATCAGAAGCCCTGAGAAATTAACAGATCCTTCTCTGGCAGCAATTTACTCTCCAGACAAGGAGGAAGACATTTTCACATATGACCTCTTTCCTGTGTCCCAACTTCAATCCAACATGACAAACAAAAAATAAAAATCTCAAATCAGGACATAAAAGGAAATTTGATCTTTCTACTCCTTAATGTGTCATTGACACTATTCTTTATTTGTAAATTTCCCTTTAAGATTAATAAAGTATATTAATTCATTAAACACACCTGAAATGCCTGTCACGTACTGCTGTGTATTTTATGTCTATAGAGAGAAAAATGGCTATTGACTGAGGACGTCCTCCACACCGCCAGGTGGCGACACGTAGAGTATGAATCCACTCGACAAGGCGGAAGGGCTCATGGATCGATTCGTCTGGTCTTAAACTTACAGTTTCTGTTTTCCACATGAGTCGAGGGTTGTTTTTTAACTTTTAAACACACTTTTTGTGTGTGCTCTTCTAGACGGATGGCTGGTGAAAGATCTTCTTATCTGGAGGACGTGGACGTTCCAGCTGTGGTCACAGTTCGCCTCATCAGGTCGTTTGAACACAGAAACTTCAAGCCTGTGGTGTTCCAGCAGGTCAGCCTGAACCAGACCGCGCAGGACTTCATGCGCCGTGTGAGAAACGGTAAATGAGAAGCCTTAACTCGTTTCTGGCTCAGTTCCAACTCAATGAAACAAACACTTCACATGTTTTTGGTTGTTTTTAAAATCAGTTTTGGAATAATTTCCCTATTCTCAGAATCAAAAATTATTTTAGATGAAACTGGTTGTTTTACAAATGTAAGCACAACAGTTCAAGGAAGGAAATCCCATCTCATTATATTACTCTTACAGTGAAATGTAATATAAAATTTGGTTTAAAAAGTTTTGAATGTGTTCAACCTGCCGGTGTTATAGATGAACTGGTGGCGGCAAGTGGCAAAGACAGATGTTTGTGTGGGCGTGGCTTTTTAGGACCCCTTTACCGAACCAGGAAGTAAACAAGGCGAGAAACTTAAAAAAAAAAAAAAAAAAACTACACATTTTTGCAAAAATACTGTCCGAAGCCGTAAGAACCCATTGAGATCTCGGAAATAACTAATTAGATAGACTTTTATTGGTCGAACATGGTATGTTTCCTTTTTTTGTGTCTTTTTTTGACATTAATCTGCAAAATTACCAAAACATGTAAATTACGCAGAACTTGTCCTGATTTCTGTGTTGCTTCAGAGGTTGAAACTCGTCAAAGGAAGATCGAAATAGATCTCAAGATGCCATAAACAGATCTCAAAGCAAAGATTAATCCCTGAAATCCGACATAAATGTTGAAGAGCCATGAGATTGAAAATAAATGTTTAAAAAGATGGACTGGCTATGTTGTTTTTTACATCTCCTCATATTGTATGATATTTCAATCCGATATCCACAGAAACGATAGCAAATGTTTTTTAAACTCTGTTTTTTTGCAACATGTTATAGTTTATTTCCCAGTTCATTTGCAGAAGACATGGCGGCCAGAGATCTATGTGACAGAGGATCATCGCTTCTTTATTGGTTGATATTTTTTCTCATAATTTAACTTGACGTTTCTATTCTTTTCATCAAATGACCCTAATACTCAACTATAAGAGACAACACAATTGTCTCATATACTTTTACATCAGAAATGGGTTAAAATCATCACTCAAACTGAGATTCTGAAAGTGTCACCAGTTAATCCAGGTTTGAATCTTACAGTGCGAGATATTATTCATTGGATCAGAATCAAAAACAGGTAGGATTTATGGACTAAAACAGCACTCTCAAAACTCAGCGACCGTGGGTATGAGTTCAGCTAGAGATTTCGTCTGATTCACATTTTGGACCCATTTATTTTATTGTCTAAACAAAGAATATTCACTTGTGTGGTATATTTTGGTGATCTCAATATATTCTTGAAAATTCCTGCACATACAAATAACTATTATTGTTTTCAAGAGATTGTACAGAAAGAGATATTTTCTAATTTGTTTATTTACACTTGTCGCGTTTTGATCAGGAAACGACACAGCCGCCTAATTTTTTACAAACATCAGTCAAACGGGGTTGAGGACCCCGTTTGACTGTCTAGTTAATTCAGGTCTTAATGCGGCTCGTTTTGTTCATATGTCCCCTCGTCACCAGCCTGCAAACAGCTTCACAGGAGAGAACACAGACAAATACTGTAGATATGGCTCATAATCTGTTGGTGGTATCTGACACTATAGTTTATGATTATAACTTTGGCTTGAACATTTGGATATCACTACCAACTACAACAGATGTTTGTGGCTGTTAACTTTATATCATTTAGATGAGATCTTATTGCAGTATAACTGATCGACATTATTTGATATTCCTCTCTATTTGGACACGTAAACACCACAGCAACACCATCAGTATGTGATTGAAAGTTTATTAAATATGGTGACACCAACCTCATTGTTTAGCGACACTTCCTGTGGGTAGTGTCGCTAAAAAAGAGGAAAGTTCAGAAACAGTTTGGTTGTATTGCAGGATCTGAGCCAGAAACACACACTAGGCTAGAAGTGTTAAGTAATTCACATTACAGGAACTTGAGGGTCAATTCCAATGTTTTTCTGATCAAGGCTGGTTACAAAAAGCAGAAACCTTCCACTTAGTTTTACATTCTGGCTGTTCATGAGATGAAATTCATTTATTCTGGTGAACCTGAATGTGAATGTGATTGTCGCATTACTCATTGATCACGTCCACGGCTAATTTTCCTATTGTTCATATCGTAGTTGGAGGTGATTTCAATTTGGCTCCAGATGAATATATGGATCGATGGCCTTCACTGCTTGCAAAACAAACTCCAAATCCTATACTTGAAGAATTTGATAATAACACAAAATTGTTTTACATCTGGAGAGCTCTATATACTGGATTCAAACAGTTCACCCTAACCCTAACCCAGTTCACAAACCTAATGGTCAATAATAATTTAAGGCGCATCATGCTGTTGTTAGACTACAAGATCTTAACAAAAGTTTTGGCAACAAAGTTAAAAACTGGCTTGCCTAAGATAATTAGTCAAACACAATCCGGCGTTTATGTTGTTTTTACATTTCCATAAAGCATTTGATTCGGTGGAACATCAATTTATTTTTAATGCGTTGAGACACTTTGGATTTGGAAATAGTTTCCTTCATATAATTACCATGTTAAACGCCAATATTAACAGCAGGGTGTCCCTGTCACAGGGCACATGGCCCAGATTCAATGTAGAAAGAGGAATCAGACAAGGTTGCTGTATCTCACCTCTTATTTATTTTAGTCACAGAACTACTTGCAATAGCAATTAAAAACTCTAATATTGATGGTTTGGAAATATATAACCAGAAAATAATCATTGACCAATTTGCAGATGATACAACCTCTTCCTAAAAAACAACAAATCCCTCCAGCTCTAAAGGAAATAGATTTGTTCTCTCAAGCCTCAGGGCTGCAGATAAATATTAATAAATGAGGTTCTGATTCTTAAATTTCCAATATTCCAGTTAAAAATTAAATTAAGTACTTAGGAATGTGGATCACTTAATGTAAAGATACCAGCATAAGAAAATATTTACAAGACAACATTGATAAGATAAATGTGGCAAAACCTGAAATAATTGGCTTCAAGGAGACTTGATGTTATTGGTAGAACATTATTAACAAGAACTGGATCCTTATCCAGGCTGATGTTTCCTGCATATTCCTTAGCCGTCCGTCCAAATATCATAAAACTGATTAACAGAATAAATTTGAACTTTATTTGGAAAATAAACACCATTACATCAGAAGAAGTGATTTGCTAAAACATTGTGAGGACGGTGGTATCAAGGCATCAATTTTGAAATTATGAATGATACTTTAAAAATGAAATGGCTTCAGGCCGCTTTAAGAAGTGGTGATCTTATTTGGTTTGTTATAGCGGCGTTTGTATTTCAAAACGTTGGAGGTATTGAGTTGTTATTGAAATGTGATTTTGAATGATCTAAACTCTCCTAAACTCTCATTTCCATCAACAGGTTTAGTCACAGTGGAAGTTGATCTTTAAGCACAACTTTAGCCCTCATAAGGTCCCACTGTGGAACAACAAGGTCATATTAAGTGGTAGAAAATTATTTTTCTGGAAGATTGGTGGAATAAACAAATTTGGTCAATTCCTCATTTACTGGATGGAAATGGGCATATTCTTAGTTTGGAGGAATTTAATAGGAAGTATGGAACTGATTGTTCACTAGCAAGTTATAAGAAGGTTTTGCATAGTATCCCTCATGTCCTCAGTTAAAAACAATTTACCTCATTTCTTTATTCCAAGACTCCATAAGATTCAAATTGAGCAGGTGGACATGAGAGATAATAAATGCAGCAACAGGTTTTTGAATCAATATTCTATAAATAATATAAACCCAGGAAGAACGAAAAGCACATTTCTCTTACAAAATTTTGAGAAATCTATTATAGTCAAGATTAGGACAATTCCTCTTTAGTATAAAGAATTACATTTTAAAATAACAGATAGCCTTCAAATGAGTTTTTTGTTGTTGTTGTTGTTTATTGGTTTTTTTAACTATATGTAAACACCAACACAAGTAAACAAGAACAACCCACCCCGAACGAACATGGAGCACAGCAGTGTCAGCATAAAAAATAAAATAAAAGAAATAATTCATTAATCTAAAAAAATTATAATAACAATAATAATAAAAAATAAATAAACTACGACAAAAAAAGACATACATACAACCTACATACACAAAGTACAGGCAGACATTCCCAGGCAAAGATTAAAATAGTCAAAACTCTTGGGCCAAGTGAGTGATATAGTAAATGTAAAGAAATAAAAAAATAATTAATTAATAAAATAAGTAAAGATTACAGTCTCTGTAAGAAAGATTGCAGTGGGTCCCAGATCCTCCAGAATTTGTCCAACTTTTGATGAAGATCATGAGTCAGTTTTTCAACTAAAACAATAGCAGAGATTTGTGAAATCCACACATCAACTGTAGGGGCCTGAGGTGCTGTCCATCTCAGTAATATACATTTCTTGGCCAGAAATAAGAGGATTACAAGCAAATGTTTAGTGTCTGCATTAAATAGAGTTTCTGAAGTATGATTAAAAAGACAGAAGGAGGGAGTTAGTGGGAACTGTTTACCAATAATCTCTTGTATTATCATATGAACTGCTTCCCAGAAACTTTTAATACAATTGCAAGACCAAAACAAATGAATAAATGTGCCCCTATGTATTTTGCATTTACGACAAAGATCTGAAGCATCAGGAAACATCCTCCGGAGGTGAACAGGTGTATAATAAGTTCGGTAGAAAAATTTAAAGTTCTGCTCATGTATAAAGACCGAGGTGCAGTTGGGGAAAACCCCAGTACAAATTTCCTCCCAATCTGCAGGATCAAACGTCAGCCCCAGATCATGTTTCCACACCAGCTTCATAGCATCATAACCTGAGGAATCACCAAATGAGTTTTTAAGAAAGAGATTTAATTTTAATGTTGAGAATTGTGGTTTTTGTACAACTCAATTGGAAATAACCAAACATTTATTTAATGAACGTAATGAAGTATTAAAGTTATGGGATCAACTTTGGAATCTTCTGTCTTC